AAAAAGAATCATTTATACTAATAAATTCGCTTTTCGCCACGAGAAATGTCTCAATTTGACATGTGCTCTGTCAGATGCAACTTAAACCGGCAACTTTTAGCTGGGGTTAAAAAAATTATCGCTTATTTTTTCCCTGTTAAAGCATTTTTATAGGCTATGTTATCACCAAAAAAACTACTATACCTACAGGTTTTTCAAATTACTATTACATTCACCCCTTAAATAATTATTATGATCCATTTGGGTAAATACGAAACTTGCAGATTATTGCCCAATTGGGCGTTTCAATTAGATCAGCTTTGACATAGAAGAAAATTCATGTATACAGGTTGCTCCATTTTTCATTGCAACATAGGCTGTGGGTGCAACAAAGACAACTTCAATTAGACACTTATGAAGGAAAAAGAAAGAGTGATATTATGTCATTGCAACTTTTCACTATAACAACTGTCATTTTATAAATCTTTCTTTGTTCAACTTTGCTTCGTTGCTCCATTTTTCATTGCAACATAGGCTGTGGGTGCAACAAAGACAACTTCAATTAGACACTTATGAAGGAAAAAAAAGAGTGATATTATGTCATTGCAACTTTTCACTATGACAACTGTCATTTTATAAATCTTTGTTCAACTGATAGAAACGACCATGTTGCAATCGCGAACGAAGCACAGTGTATACAAATACCCAATCCAACCCTGTCGATAACGAAACACCAAAAGACAATAACCTCTTTCCCATCGGTTCTCCGAGCACCATCATCACGTAATACCATTCCTTCGGTGGCCGTTAGGGCGGTTGGGAAAGGACGGTTTGGCGCGCGCGTATCATGAGGGTGGCACCTGTGCCTCGTCTACGTGCAAGTACAAGAAGTCTCGACGAATGTGTGTGAGTGTGTATAAGCGAACGAGTGCGTGGATGGCCTGTGCAGCAGGTGCTCGACATCCACACCTGCACCCTCCGCTGACGATGCGATGCGGAGCCGCTTCTTCGAGCGCTTACTTACACTTTCACACAACCACGAATCGGCCTGTTTCATCTTCTAAGCGGCCGGGAACTGGCCCTGGTGCGATGAAAGCTGCTGATGATTCGGGGAGAATAATGGGGTATTTTGAAATGAAATCATTACGGGTCACAGAAATGATATAAGATTCATCATGTTCTAGTGACTTTTGATGCACTGCATTTCTTAAAAGATTAGTTGACAAGAAGTATCAGACAAGCTGTAGGTACCTATCAAAATTTTATTTTGTAATAGTTAGATCTGGATTCTTTTTATTTGTCCACTATAGAGACTTTATAAACGAAACAATCTACACTTTGGAACAACATTTAAAGCACAAAAAAAATATTTTTGGCGATACAAGCGAATATGAAAGCGTTCCTTTGGTTGCCCGTAGACCCGGAGAAATGCGGTTATTTTGAAGCAATGTAGGCCGAAGGTAAAGGCTTTTCAATATTTTTCCGAAAAAACGATAACCGAACGGCTCTTTATGCATAAGTGGCATTCGGCGGTAATGTCGTACGTAAATACTATAATTTGAAAACGGCCCAGTTTTCGAATCCTGCGAAGCACAAGGGCCGGACGGACCGAAGTGAAAGCGTCTCTAAAGCGAAATTGTACGAATTCAATTGTGTCCCCGAGATAATGACGATTACGAATTTATTTCAAATGTAATAATTACAATTGCTATCGGTTATAGTCGCTTACAATATACAATATGTAGGTTAGAGGAGTCTCGCACTCTTAGCAAAATCGTTGTATGTATAAAGCAAATTGTTGTATGATTGAAGAGTGTGTACATCTTGCCTAAAGCTTCACATATATCTCATTTAAAAAAAACTCTGAATGCATGTATAAATCGCAAAATTTTCTAAGAAATGTGTATGGAATAAACGCAAAAATTCATCCCTAAAAGGACGCAATAAAATATCCACTTAACGCGTTAATTATTATGTATGAGAAACAGCAATTCTAGGCTTTGAATTTCGGCATTGCAAAATCGCGGCTGCATAAAAACGCATTCGCATATAAAGCAGGCGCTCGTTTAGTTTATGAATTTCAATAGAACGATTATGATTTATGGCTCGGCATTCCGAATGTCGATTCTCCTAATTGAGAAACGTCGAATCATCGTCAATAACTAGTGGTGAAATCTTAATTTAAAATTGCAGCCAATCACGCTAATTCAAAGATTTTCAATCGCTCTAATGGGCATAGATTTGCACTTAGAATCTCGTTGCATTTTGAGATAGAGGTGAATAGGAATTGAAGTTTTACAGAACATGAATGTGGATAATTTAAGGGTCTTCTTTTATAGTTATTAAAGTAATTATCTTATCCAGTAATTATGCATCAGTATTTGAGCTATTAATTTTAGGAAAAGTGTAATATCTAATACCTAACCCCTTAGAAAAAATTATCATCTACTTCTTTGATATTCGTTAATTGAATAATTGAATGTATAATTGATTGTGAAAACATTTAGACGCCCTCCAAAACCGTGCAATTATGAATTAACTTGCGCACATCAATTACGTAAGTACTTACTTAACAGGGTATAAATTCACAATTAATTGGAATACAACAATACAATAAAATTGAATAATTGTATTTGAATTATATGACGCCGAAACACAATAAATCCCTCATATTATTCGTTTAAAGCAAACGGTATAATTAAGCTATTTTATTTATCAAGATCGATACGAAAAAATTCTCACGAGAAATACAGGTAAAAAACATTTATTATGTCCAATAAAGATTCACCCCCTCGCAAAGGTGTCACCATCAATTTCATGTTATTTGGAAATGCAAGGTAAATAAGGGTATTACAGTGTCCGTTGTTTTACCGTGAGAATCATTATTGCCTACAGCAAATGAAGCGGTAATTAAACCAAACAGGGACGGTATCAGGAAGTTCTTTTTTATATGGATATTTGATCGAATTGAATTATTTAGTAGTTCTTTAAGACGATATCTTTTCCAGTGCACTTTATTTGTTGTATTTATCTATTGCAATCATAAACATTACGGCACATTTTATCTCTGTAAAACTCGACAAACAATCAATAATTATTATCATATTGTATCGTTTGGTTTCATGGCATTATTTTCGCCCTGCTCCTCCCATAAATCATGCCGTAGGTAAAGCGAGAGGTGTAAATGGACTATCGCCATTCGTAAATTTGTTCCCGAGCACGTAAATCCCATAAACGGTACAATACCCAACGCCTTTTGGGGGTTATTTGAGCGTCGGGTCCCTTTTAGTGGCGCACCGAAGGGCGAGGGTGGGTCATCGTAAAAGTACCATTCATTCAAGAATAGATTTCGAGTGTCGAATCTGTACCGATGGCGCCACTTACGCAATATCCTTTTATGACGGTGATTTTTGTGAAAATCCCGGGTGGTCTTCTGATGATGTTGCTTTGTATTGCAATGAAACGATTTATACTTCGTTTGCCCATAGGAAGTTGTAATAAAAGATTCTTGATGCAGTAAACCATAGGCGTGCCAACAAATTAATTAAAAATAGACGCTACTGAGTTAATAGTTTGATAAATAACTAACAACTCCTTACGGTATTGATTCAGATATCAAATGATCTTAATTTTTTAAATTATTACATCCTTTTAGTATCTATAAAATGCTATAAGATTTTATTTGCTATAAGAAGGTAAAAAAAGTAAAGTTAAAAAAAAAGTTAAAGTTTTGGAATTTTAGGATATTTTGGTTGAATTATTCGTGCTGTCTTGAATACAAAATTCGGTTTTACTACTATTTCCTAATGTCGAACGGAGTATAATTAAATAATATTAAATACAAAAAGGTGTCTTAAGAGTAAGAGTGAGTTGTAAACTCTATGCAAATGAAGAAAAGTTAACAATATCAGCAAGACAAAAATCTAAAATAAACAGCCCGCGAGATGAACTGTGCAATTACAATAAGTAATGACTGCAATTTGGTGGACGTTTCGCGCTCGAGCTTAATTTATATGACACCTTTCATTATTTTTCCCTTTCGCCGGTATGGATTTATTCGTTCGGTCGCCTTTAATCGAACTGGTATCGGCGCATCGATTTTCGTAAGTTTTTCGGTAGAAAGTTTTCGAGCGTAATGAAAGAGTGCTTCGACAAAAAAAAACAGTGTGTAATATTGATATTAATAATATTAATTATTTTAACGTCTTTGCATGTTTTCAATAATATACGTAAAAGCAGGACGGGCTTTCTAAAATTAACGTATGTCGAATGTACAATTTTTATTTAATTTAATCATGAAATTCATAAATCAGAGATTGTGGAAGTAATTGAGTCAATACAATTAATATGAAGAAAAAAAGGAAAGTATAGGCAAATTAATAATTGATTATGAATAAAAAATATAAATAAACTTTCATAATTGAAGCACTCTTTTGATTTAACACATACCTAAATGTAGATATTCATTTAATAACTAAAATCTTGTTTCTAATACAGGTTCAAAATTGGATTATATACAGAATATAGAAATCTTATTACTCAATAAATAATATCAATTTATAATATGTATATTAAGTATGTTTGTGAGTGTAGCATATCGATCAAAAGCTCGATTAAAAGTAAAAAAAATGATAGAACATACTTACATAAACTTCTGAAAAATTACAGAAAAAATTAACAACTTGCGCTATCTTTTGGATCTTTCACAAGGAATGTCCAGTGAACAATTCCTTTAAAGAGATAGTTTATGAAGCCGAATAGTTTCTTCAGGCGAACTTCTGTAAGTTTCTAAAAGAGGGCTCTGTGAGCTTTTCTTCACTTTTATGTATGTTCTGTGTTTCTTCAAATATTTTTAATTATAATTTTAAGTTTCATTTAAAAAATGAACATTATTCATTTAAAATTTTATACAATATTGCTTCATTATGAGAGATTTATTAATAACAAAAGTAGATTTAATTTTTCAATATACTTAAATAAATTTCAAGTTCTAGCAGTTACGAAACAAAAATTAACGACATTTAAATTGAAAATAAACTTTATTTATATAAATTTATTTACATTATTTTGGTAAAATACATTGGCGTAACACTTCAGAAACTTACTTCGGGAATTTATCGCAGAAAATCGAAAATACGTGCGTTATTTTTATTATATAGGTATACTTGTTTTTTTTACAAAATGGCAGTGTTTCGATTAAGAAGGCACAATTGCAATTACATCTCTTCCTGCGTTGACTAGAGCATATAATGTATAATTTTTATTTCAGAGATATATATTTATAAAGTTCTCTCTAGCACCATTTTGATTAATTCAATCAGTATAGCGAACTCTTTTTAAATTAAAGACAATTCTCGAAATGATGTGAATTACAATTACCGTTTTTTTCCTTGGTCATTAATCATAAATCGTTTTCTTTTTCTGAGTTATTTGCTTCATGGTAAATTCATATACATAACTTACAAACTATGTTCTATACAAAAATCTTTACATGCTATTTTGTTATACAAAAACATGGCACGGCAGTATTAAGGAAAAGTTACAAAGCTTACTATACACAATTCGCGGACGGATACTTGATAATCGAATACAAAGTTTATCACGCTAGATAATCAAGTATCCAATCCGACAGGAACACAATTAGCCGGTGTCTGATCAAAGCATTTCATACCAACCCTCAAATCGGATCAATTTCCCGCTAAAATGCTTCCAGCAAGACACCGAAGTGAGAGAGTCAAAAATAATAATAAGAAAAAAAAACAATTTATAATATTATTTCCCTAAACCGGACGCGCGACGTTTACGTATTCCTTATGCAGACCTGGCACCTGCTCACCCTGTCTCTGACGTTACCGGCCTTCAGCGTTTGCTTCTGCGGCTTCTGGAACTGCTGGTTGGTCTCGATGGTGGCCAGCCAGAAGCTGAGCGTGTTGGCGAAGTAGTGGCAGGAGCCCTGCGCTCCGTTACACTCGATGAACGGCGTCGCCCTGAAGTCTTCCAAACAGGAACCCGGACTGGCCAGCGATTGACCGCCACCTTCGGCTCCAGCACCAGTGTGCTACAAATTAATGTAATAATTAGTCGTAGAACAACGATGGATAGTAAGAATATTCTATTCGCTTGTTAGAAATTATACTCTGTTTGCTATCAGGAGATAGAACCATAGAACTGTCTAGTCCAGATTGACCTCTACAACAATTTAGACCTCTCCAGAATGATTTATAACTCATTTACCATCGCCTGTTCGGGAACGGAGTATAATTTATTGAAGATGGAATAAGTACATACCATAACGAAACTGTAACCGATCCAGAGACTGCTCCATCCGTAAGGACAATCGGGCAGGGCGAGCGATTGGCTGTGCACGGCGATAACGTTGGCGGGCGCCTCGCAAACGACGCACCGCGAGATGTAGTCCTCGATCTGGGACTCCTCCACCGGCATCATGGGAATGGCCGCGCTGGTCGACAGCCAGTAGGACTTGTCGTTGCGGCTGGCGTAGTTGCACACGTTGTTCACGTCGCAGAACACGAACGGCATCGTCGAGAATTTCCTGATGCAGGAACCCGCGTAGCCGAGGTCTTGCGAGTGCGCCTTTTCGTTGCCTTCGACGTAGAGCAGCGAGTAGCCCTCCCACAGTTTGACGTGGCCGCCCTCGCAGCGCGGGATTTCGCGGCTCTGGCTGTGCCGGACGAGGAGGGTTCCCGTGAGGTAGTCGGGGATGTCGACGCAGGGCGCGCCCGGTTCTCCCTTGGGTCCGACGTCGCCGGTGAGTCCCTGAAGACCGGCCTGGCCTTCGATGCCCATGTCTCCCTTTTCGCCGGGGAAGCCGGGCGTTCCCGCGATGCCGGTGAATCCTCTGTCGCCTTTGTCGCCCCTGAGGCCCGGGGCTCCTGGTAAACCGTCGAGGCCGGCGGGTCCTCTCTCTCCGGGAATGCCGGGGTTACCTAGAAAATCTCATTTATAGCACCCATACATATAACTAAAACAGATGAAACCTATTAGTTAGTTTTAGGTTAGGTATTAGCACCTATTAGTTATGAGTTTAGTGCAAATATACCTGACGGTCCCCTCTCTCCTTTAGGTCCGGGATATCCTTGAGGTGCTGGTTCTCCTTTTTGACCTTTCATTCCTTCTAAACCAGGATTACCAGGTTGACCGTTGAATCCTGAATCTCCTTTGATTCCAGGCGGTCCCATTGGTCCGATACTTCCAGGAATTCCGTCGAATCCTCGGTCTCCCTTTTCGCCAGGGTAACCTGGTGTTCCTTGCAAACCCGTTATTCCTGAAACCGAAAATGTTATTTTATTGTACGGTTTTATTAATTATTATTAATACGAACCTCTATCTCCCTTTTCTCCTGGTGCTCCCATAAAACCGGGCGGTCCTCTGTCACCTTTTTCGCCCCTACGTCCAGGTAATCCTTCCAGTCCAGGCGGACCTGGTGGACCGATTGGTCCTACTGGACCTGGAGTTCCGTCGAATCCTCTCGGTCCTTGTGGTCCTTGCAGGCCCAAAGGTCCAGGAGGTCCGGGTGGTCCGGTTCTTCCTGGTAAACCAGTAAGACCGCGTTCTCCCTTTTCGCCAATTTGTCCTTGAAGTCCTTCTCTGCCGTTTTTACCGGGTATTCCAGGGAGACCCTTTTCACCTTTGATTGTCGCTCCTGGCATTCCTTCACGTCCCGTGAGACCTCTTTCTCCTATACGCATAATTAAAAAGTATTAGATTTTTATTTCTTACAATAAAATTTATAATCAAACCTTTAGCACCGGTTAAGCCAGCTATTCCTATTTCTCCCTTGAGACCTGGGAAGCCAACATCTCCTTTTTGTCCTTGCAATCCAATCGCTCCTGTAAATCCTCTGTCTCCTTTTTCTCCTTGTCTACCTTCCAAGCCAAATGGTCCAGGTTCTCCTTTGTCTCCCTTAATTTGTACAAGTGGACCAGGTGCACCTCTTTCACCGAAATCTCCCTTATCTCCTGGAGCTCCAACAGGTCCTTGCGGTCCTGGACGACCGAGCTCTCCTTTCTGACCTTGGTAACCATCGATACCGGGCGAACCTTTGTCTCCTTTTTCGCCAGGATAACCGGACACTCCCGGGAAACCTCTATCTCCTTTCTCTCCGGATAATCCTGGTATTCCGTCAAGTCCTGGTGGTCCCCTTTCTCCTGGGAATCCTCGGTCACCTTTAGGTCCCGGAAAACCATCTTGACCTCTATCTCCCTTAATGCCTGGACCTCCTGGTAAACCATCCAATCCCGGAGGACCTGGGAATCCTTTTTCTCCTGGGGCACCCGGTATTGTTCGTCCAGGCAAACCAGCTTCTCCTTTTATTCCTGGGAAACCTTGAGAACCAGGTGATCCTGCAGCTCCCCTTAAGCCGGGTATACCGTGCTCTCCTTTTTGACCTTTTTCAGCAGCTGTTCCTGGTTCACCCTTTCTTCCACCTAGTCCAGGTCGACCTTCTACGCCTTTCAGACCTGGTGGACCTGGAGGGCCTGGTAGTCCAGGTGGACCAAACGGTCCAGTATCACCCTTTTGACCGGGCAAACCCATTTCACCGGGCATTCCAATGAGTCCTTGAGGACCAGGAGGTCCTGAGAAACCACGATCTCCTTTCTCGCCTGTGCGTCCTGGTAAACCGTCCATTCCTATAAAAGAAATATGCAATTTTAGTTCAGCATTAAAATTTTCGAGTTAATTTACAGTAACATAAATAGAAAATAACGTATCTACGTTTCATACCTGGTGCTCCCGGTGATCCCGGTCTTCCAAGTAACCCTTTGAAACCTTTCTGTCCTGGTGCTCCCGGAATTCCATGTTCACCCTTCAAACCAGGGAAACCTGCCAAGCCTTGTCGTCCGGGTTCACCTCTTAATCCAGGTTCACCTTTGAGACCTACGGGTCCTGGTCTTCCTGGTAAACCGTCTAATCCTGGGGGTCCCAAAGGACCTGGTTCACCTTTCTCTCCTGGAGGTCCCGTAAGACCTGCTTCCCCGGGGAATCCGACATCTCCTTTCTCTCCCATTAAACCCATCAATCCGTCATTACCAGGAGCTCCTGTCTTACCCGGGAAACCAGGCAGTCCTTTCTCTCCCTTTATTCCGAATGGACCTGGTGGACCTGGTGGTCCAACAGAAGGAATACCAGCTTCTCCTTTTGTTCCTTTTCCTCCAGATAATCCAGGAAGTCCAGCAGGTCCGTCTCTACCAGGTTCTCCAGGGAAACCAAGTGGTCCTCGCTCTCCTTTGTCTCCTCGGGGACCAGGTAATCCTCTGCGTCCTACAGGTCCTGGAGGCCCAGTTGGTCCTTCGGGTCCCATTGGTCCTACATTACCCTGATCTCCTTTCTCTCCTCGAGCACCATCTCTTCCATCATAACCTCTTTCTCCTTTCGGTCCCATGATACCTTTGTTACCTTTCATTCGTTCGATAATGCTTTCAGGGCATCTGCCAGGTTCTCCTGTAGGACCACGTTCTCCACCTCTTCCAGGTGTTCCTTTATCTCCTTTTAATCCAGGGTAGCCTTGTTCACCTTTAACGCTTTCGCCTTGCTGTCCTTTTATACCAGGAATACCTGGTTCGCCGTTTTTACCTTCAAGACCAGGGAACCCATTATAACCTTTTTCTCCTTTCTCTCCCGATAATCCAGCAAATCCTTGATCACCTTTAGGGCCAGGATGACCAGGAAGTCCCTGAGGTCCAGGGCGACCTTCAGGCCCCCGTAAACCTTTGTCACCTTTTTCGGCTTTTACTAAACTAATGGGAACTTGTGCGTTGCGTCCCGGCAAACCCTGCAAACCTGGTGTTCCATCTTTTCCAGGTGTTCCCTAAGAAATACAAGTTATAAATTAATATTGTGTTATTCTTTATAGATATTCTACGTACTGGCTTTCCAGGTGGTCCATCTCTACCGGGTACTCCATCGTGACCGGCCAATCCGGGGAAACCTGGAGGTCCTGGTGGTCCTCTTGGTCCGACTGGTCCATCTCTGCCATCTAATCCGCGGTCTCCTTTCTCTCCTCTTGCTCCCGGCATACAATCTATGCACTGACCTCCTCTATCACCCTTTGCGCCTGGTATTCCTGGAGTTCCGGGAATTCCGGGACGTCCGGCGTTACCTTTTTCTCCTTGCGGTCCTAATGGACCAGGAAGGCCTGGAATTCCACTTAGGGAATCACCAGGTGTACCTCGAGGTCCACCAAAACCTTTTTCACCCTTTTGACCTTTTTGGCCATCTCGTCCTGGTTCTCCATCTTCTCCTTTTGGTCCCTAAATTAATCAGTTATTTACAGGAATAATACAATAGCTTAATAACTTTACAATTATCGTGGCTCCTTTTTCACCAGTAGGTCCGCGTGGCCCTTGTGGTCCCATAGGGCCAGGGAAACCTCTAGGACCTTCGCTTCCCGGAAAACCAATTGAACCAGGCTGACCTTGTTCTCCTTTTTCTCCCGGCGCACCTTCAGGTCCGGGCGTTCCCGGTTGACCAGGCCCTCCTACAGGTCCAGGCGGTCCTCGGGGTCCGGGTTCTCCGGGAAAACCGTCCATTCCTTTTGGTCCCATCGGTCCGGTATAACCTCGAGGTCCAACCGGTCCTGGTGGCCCTACGACACCTTTTCCGCCACCGGGCGGTCCCGGCGGTCCTGTTAAACCTTGATGACCGGGTGGTCCGTCTCTACCGGGCTCTCCTTTCAAACCTGGTCTTCCTGACAAACCTGGAATACCAGGCAAGCCCCTGTCTCCTTTTTGGCCTGGCGGTCCGGGTGGTCCAGCATAACCGTCTCGGCCCTAAAATATTATCGTGAACTTAATTCGGATATTAATTGGGCGTAAGTAACTTACTCTAGGTCCTGGTGACCCTGGTAAACCTTTTTCTCCTTTCATTCCAAGACCTCCGGGTAAACCGTAATCTCCTTCCGGACCAGGTTCTCCCTTTTGTCCAGGAAAACCGTAGTCTCCGTGATCTCCTTTGAAACCTTTTTCACCTTTGGATCCAACCGAACCCGTACAGTTTAATTCTTGATGTCCATCAGCCGGTTCACCTTTCTGCCCTCTTGGTCCGCTATCTCCTTTGTCGCCTTTAGGACCGAAGAATCCAAGTCCTGGAGTACCTTTCTGACCTTTCGGCCCGGGCGGCCCTTGCGGACCCTTTAGTGAAACAAATACATTTTTACTGTATGTTTAATTTTGGACATTCGAACTTACATTTAAACCAGGTTCGCCTGGAATACCCGGTAAACCGCTTCCACCGGCAGGTCCTGGATTACCGGCGGGTCCTCTCACACCATCACGACCCGGTTCTCCTTTTTGACCTTTGAGTGTAATTTCACAGTGAGCAGCTTCGCCTTTTTCTCCCTTTATTCCAGAAGGACCCGGGAATCCACGGGGTCCAGATTCACCCGGGAAACCAGGAATACCAGGCATACCCTAATAAGTAATAGTAGGTTAATTTTATAAGTAATATTACGATGAATTCTGAATACGTACATCAGTACCATTGCATCCGTCCATACCAGGAGCACCAGGTGGCCCCGAAGGTCCCTGAATACCAGGAATTCCATTGAGACCGGGGAATCCCGGCAAACCGGTTACTCCGCGTTCTCCCTTCGGTCCTCGAGGACCAGTCGGTCCCCGTTCGCCCTTGTCGCCCTTATCACCGGCGACTCCTTCGCCACCGGGGAAACCCCGTTGGCCCTTTTCGCCGGGAAGGCCGGGCACTCCGGGAAAACCCTACGACAGGCGTTTCGTCAGCCAAAAAACATCTAACACGTTCCGTCAATTTACTTACTCTATTACCTTTCTCCGCGAAGCATTTCGGAATGCATTTGTCATTGCCCGCTCTGGCGGCAGGAGAATCGAATATGTCGTAGCTGCTGGAGTACGGCCTCCTACTGGCGTATGGACTGCTGTCGTACCTGTCGCCCGATCTGTAGTTGTACGACGACCTGGTATCGTTGTATTGCGATTGTGAACCGTAACCGCCAGATTGAGAACCAGAACCGCCAGATTGAGAACCATAACTGCCAGATTGAGAACCAGAACCGCCAGATTGAGAACCATAACTGCCAGATTGAGAACCATAACCGCCAGATTGAGAACCATAACTGCCAGATTGAGAACCATAACCGCCAGATTGAGAACCATAACCGCCAGATTGAGAACCATAACCGCCAGATTGAGATCTTGCGTCTGATCCACCTCCTGCTCCCCCATAACTCGATTCCGATCCCGTTGCTGCTGATCCTTGGCTTCCCGAACCGGAACTGGATCTAGAGGAACCTTCGCTTTGGGTCCTTGTGTAGTACCTACGATCCTGTCGAGGAAGGTACCTTCCGTACGAGTCGGTCCTGGCTGCATCCGGCTGGGTTGTAGTGGGATTATCATTGTTCTGAGAATTCTGGGACCTCGTCCCGTCGTCATTGTAACCCCCACCCTGGTAATTTACTGATCCCGAAATGTAGTTGGGATTGGGTTCGTTCTCTACGTTCTCATTGCCTTCTTCGTAGCCGTTCTGATCGCCTCTGTCGTAGTAATCGTCTGTTACTTCCTCATCATATCTTGGATCCAGATTGTTTTCCTCGTAGTTCTCTGCATTGTTGTTGTAGTTAAATCTGCTTCTTCTATCGTCCTGTCTTCCGTATAGACCAGTCCGATTTTCTGCTGGATAACTATCAATAAATTGCTGAAAAAAATATACCGCTCTTTAAATTAACTTCTGGATATAATTTACTTTGATTACAACAATTTCGCAATCGATTTTTTTTAATAACGAAAATTTTTTGCGAGGCAATTAATGCGCCCATCGTCAGTGACACAGTTATGGTAAAGCCCATTAAAGATAATTGATCGAGTCCGAAGATAATGGCGAGCTGCGGATAAAACCCGTACTACAGGTGGTCCATCGGTCGAAATTTAGAATAAAACAAGAAGAAATCGCGAAAGTATGTCTACCCACACAGGCACAGGACGCCTCGATATTAGACCGATGAATTATGAGCGAAATTAGCCTTTTAAGGGCGCGAGTTCTGAAGTTTTCTCTATTTTTTCAGACGTGGGTACATCTGTTCGGCATATTAGGTTAAAGATAACACCGGATCCGATGCAAACTTCCTCGACTGGCCGAATTTCTTCGGCAAGATTAACCGATTTGTCGGCGCGGGGCAAAGAAAGCAAAATATATTTCGGATATAAATCACGCTCGTTGACACTTCGATTCATTCGCATATTAAAAATGAGTTACTCACCCCGCTAATGCTGCCCACTACCCCTATCACAACGACCAGGAACCTGAAACAAGAGCGTTTATTTTAATCGACCAGATATTTACGGCAAATAACGAGATTTATCATACATACACGTACGGTTCTATCCGGAAACGGTCATAAAATACCTTTAGAATAAATAGCTGGAGTACCAGAAAAAAATCCGAGCGTCCGTTTTGATATATTACCTGAGAACGAGCCGAATAAAGAATTCGCATCGGACGTTTCGGATAATATTCAGCGAATTTTGAGCGCGGCGCGATTGATTCCAGTCCCTTTCGCGGATAAATAATAAATAGCAATTAGTGCAGGGGCCGCTTAAACGCGCGTTAGTTAAAGAGTTGTAAAATATTAATTGTGAGGAACAATGCGGAGTGTTTTCCAAGGAAAACGCTTATGAAATACGACTCGCATAATGAAATCGTGTAGTTAACAATATTAGAAACGGTTTAAAGCAGCTTAAATGTATTGAAATTAAAGATGTTTGTTGGAGAATTATTGTTGGTAGGATTGCGGAATATGTAATTACTGCGTAGGTTATCGTTGCAATTATTTGTAGAAAAATTTGTGGAATAAATTTAATAGATTTATTATAAAATAATGGAGATTTTAAATGGAGCAATTACGGTGGTTGAATCATTTATTGTTAGCAAAAGAAGCGAATTGAAATTTTAGATGAATAAAAATCTACAATTAAACAATTTTTATTGCAACAAAATTAATTTGTAAAGTTTAATGAGCCGTCGCGTTCTACAAATAAGTATCAAGTCTGGAAATCGCTGTAAAATTATTGAACAATCTCGGATAATTTCGAAATTTTATCAAGAATCTAAAATAATTGGGACAAATTTAGATATTTTCTTCTCTCATGTTTTATCCGTACATTTTTTGTTCGGATAGTTTTATAAAATATCTAAAATTAATCGAATTGGTCTATTTTCGAATCGTTGTCGAACTGATTCTTCTTAGTTTGGTACATTTTATTAGTAAAATAACGAAAATTATCGAATAATTAGAAACATTTAGTTTATAAAGTAATAAATAATTTAAATATCTAAAATTAACGAAAAAATGAATAAAAATTTAAGGATTGAATCTGTAGATCTAAAAAACAAGATGTAAAAATAGGAGAAAAAAAATTAATTTATTATTCATTAAAAATTTCGTAAATCAATTTCAAAAAACACCCCTTAGAAAATACATTTCCAATTTTACTAAGTAACAAACTCACATTGAGAAATATTACCCTCGATTTTTCTCTTACGAATCTCGGGAAAAAAAATCAAAATTTTTCAGTCCGCTCATACCCAAACGTCGGGCATCAAAACCACCCAAAAAAAACCCAAACTCCTCCGCCCCAAACCATACCACCGAATTCCAACACTTACCCCAGTCCATGGTCATTCATGTCGTCCTCTTCTCCCCCTTAGAGGGGACTCACACTGACACTCGTTCGTGTATACAACCAACGCGAACTCGCGCGTTACTGAGAACCCAAGAAGAACTTGCTGCCGATGGTGTCGGCCAGCGCTCGTCGGGAGACCACTTCCAGATTCTCAGCCGGATGCGCGCGGACCGCCCGGCTCGACTTAAGCCCCCGCGGGCGCCCTCCGGCGCGGCCGACGCCCGCCAAAATCGGCCGGGACGCAGCCCCCGATCCGACGGCCGCCCCGGCCGAGTTTGGGGTCGCTGCGACCAACCCCGGGGCGCGATCGGCCCCATCGGCGGTGGGGACGGCGCCGCTTGAGCCCGGCTCTAGTGGGGATGCGGCGAGCCGGATCCGCGGATAAGAAACATGGGGTTAGTAAAGCTATGACGCTGCGGCCGGGAGCGTGCCGGGCGTCAGCCCTCATCGTAATTTCGCTCGTTGTTACGATAGTGAGTGCCAGGGATGGAAAGGTAAGCGATTGATTTGTTTCGCTTTTATTCGTTTTATTAATCTTGGTGTGGTCTTATTGAGTGGTTGTTAATGTCGAATGTTTCAGTCATGAATTTGGTGGGAATTTCAAATTCACACACTTGTATGATTTACTTAGTGTGATTATTGTAGTAAACAATAATCGTTATCGTTTGTGGGTTATTGGAGTAATTTAATGGTTTTAGCAATGTTGTATCTTTAATTCTAATCCAGGGATTGTTTGATTTATTAATTGTTATTAATAATATTTTTAATCACGTCAAATCTTTTATGAGACCTAATTTTAGGGAGCTTTTTTAAATTGGCTATTTCAAAATAAAAATATATATTTTTTTGTAACTTGATTCCTGAAGTTTCACCACTTCCTTTGGGTGTATATTGATATTCTTCCGAGAATAATATGTTACAATTTTATTGAAATGCCAATCGACATTTTAAATGTGAATAAGCAACTTTTTAAAATATCCACTGCAAATTGCACTACTCCAATATTAGATTACTAATTTTCAAGAATATTATAATAAATTTTTGCGGTGCAAAAATAATGGAAATAGGTAATTATTAAAATTAAATAATATCTAATAAAAAAATATCTAAATATTAATATTATAGATACTAATTAGAATGAACATGTATCAAAAAAATTAGTCCCACATATTAAATAAATCGCAATAAAATTTGTCTATGTCATGAAACCACTTAAAATTAAAGTGGCGCGTTAACTTTTACGAATCCATATTTTAAAAGATTTTTAAATTTACGATATTTTTGTGGGACAAATTTCTGACCGACGAGCACACAATTATAACAAAAACCGGCGGAAAACCGATTTGTTATAATGTAAATATCCGGCGGTATTATCGCAAAATTCGCCATTTATTTATACAGTTAATACTGTATTATGTTTACTCGTTTAAATGTAAGATTCGAATGAAATGGGCCATTAATTTAATTTATATCTATAAAAAGAATTGTGGCACATTAACCCTTGACTCCTCAACTGGTGTTATTTTGGTAACCTACATTTCTTTTATAATAATAATAATAATAGATAATATTACTTTAAATAGAATTGCAAATGCCCAAAAAGAAATCTAAACACATCCAATACCGACCAGAAACAGAAACTCTGTAATGACTTAACGATCAGCTGAGAAGTCTGAAGGCTAAATACCTGAACTTGCATTCGTTTTTAGTAAAGTCAATGAAGAAACTAAACGCATCCTTCCTATAAAATATGACCTATCAATAATCTTGCCTACAAGCAGCAATTTACTGTTCATATAACGTATACTAGCAATCAGTATAAGTACTTTTCATTATCATTGCATTAGCAACATAATGAGCTAGCCCGCAAGAGGTTAATAAGCATTAGGCCCGATCAACTGGTTCCCCGCAATGCAGCGGGATGGTTCCGTTAAAAATTTCGACAAGCTCTTCTTCGTGGAACCTCCGCATCGACTGTATCAATCGAGCTTGCACATTCACCATAACATGCGAGAATATAGAGAGAGAGTTCACGTAACAACCGTAACCGGCGAGACCGGTCAAGTTTATAAATCAAACGCGCTGGCTCGCCTGCATCTCGGTCTCGTAATTCCCCGGCCGAGGACTTTATGAGCTTTGCGGTGTTCGCACTTCGCTCAATTTACAGTCACGCAATTCGCCTGTATTTTATTCGAACATAATCGCGCTTTATTGATTTGATTGTGCCGGACCATCGCACACGTTTCTATATATCCATTTTATAAATCCACATACTTCATTAAACTTCTTTTTTATATGGAAAGATTGGAGCTGATGTCAGGTTAATTGTGAGGAAACTTTAATTGTTATCTTTCGATGAGAAATTTAAAGCTTTGAATCAATCCAAATACAGAACCGTGTTAAACTTAGTATTGTTAGATTTGTTGACAATTCGTGTTTGTAAATTGGTTGTTTCTCGCATTTCAACATTCGGAATTCCTGTGACCCACATAGATCTATCGCGAACAATAGATTCGCGTATAAAATGCACCGTAAAATAATATAAATAAATATCCGATTGGATTTTACGATCGAGTTTTACGGTCGCTTCGCGATAAAGAAGTGTTGTTTTTTTTGTTCAGTTCAAATATTGAAACGTTATTTCTAGCAGTGATCTTACTCCGGGCGAAACTCCCAGGAAATCGCATAATACCGCGCGAAAGTGTATTTTTAAACTCGGTTTCTGGTTGTAAACCAGTCGAAATAATGAAGATTTTAAAGCATTTTTTAAATAAACTGAACACCAAGGTTTCTACTAACCCTCTATAAATTATGCAATTATTCATTAGACCATTTAAATATCTGTAACTAAATAGGATGAAATTAAATCCTAACAATTTATATTTGTCACTGAATTGAGATTTAATTTTATTGATAACGATTTTCCTTGAGATACAACAGTAGCTTTTATTAAGAAAAATGTTGGTGGTATAATTAATAACTCAAAAGGTCCCATCCAAAGCGCGAGAGTATAAATCAAATTAAATTTATAACCCGCCGGATTTAAATTACGAATTCAATGAGCTAGATTTATCAAGACCTTCTTGTTTATATCGTCATTTCACAAAATTTTGTTTGTTTTATTTAACACGCACTTACCGAAGTCAATATCACTTTCTTTGATCCGATTCCTTCCACATTTATCTAAATCCTCTAACGACCCGCTAAATTAATTACCTCCTATAATGTAAGCAATTATCTTTAATTAGCTTCCTGTCGCTTTGTTACACCTTCTATAAGTAACTGTTAGATACCTTCTACCTGTACGATAACTCGAGGAGTAACGATAAAAAACTTCAATTCCGACGTGATTTATCTACAGCCTAGCTCATTTAAAAAACTGGCTATCTACAGTGTAACTTCTCTTCCCAGAATTCAAATGGTTCAATTAGTGTTTAAGTATGAAAAAGAAACAGTAGGATGTTCTTACGGGCGGCTTCCGAAATTTCGTCAGAATGACACGACATAATTAGAAGTTATTTGTTTAATGTTCCATAAGTTTTGGGTCCATTGATAAGCATTTCCCATCCTCTGCCCCGTCGAATAGCGGTCAACCGATTGCTCTTATCTCATTGACAACTCTTTGACGGCGTCTAATAACAAATTTGTCCATTCATATCACTCGAAAATTCGTGCTGTGACCCGTAATTTCGGTTATCACGAACTCGCTGCAGGTTTCAATCTTTTTAAGCGTTATTTTAAAATCAATCATTAGAAGTTAACTTTGCGCCTTTTATCTTAATCCTGTAATACTAATTGTTCTTATATGGTTTCATGCGCATTATAATCACCCACATGTTTTTATTTATTTCTTGTGTTACTAGTGCAAGTGACCTAGAGAGTTTAGCAAAAACGCTTATATCTAAATCATTCTGGTGACATAGATTTAATTAGTTTTTTAATTGAGTGTGTTTTTTCTCTCCACCGCTAGATAAATTTTAACTGCAATTTAGTTCACGATAAATATTCCCATAATTTGTTTATACGAAACCATATGGATGTGATGTAATCGTTTCGATTTAAATTAACTGGTATCCCATTCAAAAAAAAAATTGTTGGAGGCGTTAGTGAGATTAAAGAAATAAATAAATTTGCAGATATTAATCTCGTTGTAAGAATTTCAAGAAATTCGATTTTCTATTATTACTCTATTGCAATTTATTTAAGTACACAAACACTAATAATTAATGTGCTAAATGAAATAGCCGGCAACAAATGTCCCAATTCCCAAGAGCATTAATTTTTTACAAAATTAATCTTTCAATCTTAATCACAGAAGAAGTAAGCGTCAGTTTTCCGCATATTTTCTCATTAATTTTAATGAATTAATTGCGGCAAGTTACTGCTGACGAATACCAGAAAATATCATAAATGTTTATGTAGAACAAATTGATTCAAAGTCCATTGGAGTATACTGCAAAACCACAACTCTGGTCAGTAAACTAATAAATGCATGCAAAACCGCACAAATTTATACTAGAAAACCGAATCAAAAGATGAAGTCAGTAATAAATTAATAGTTTCTCTAATACATGCAGTATTTATACAGAAGGTAAAGGGAGAAGTTATTAATATAACTACATTTTACAGTCAACAAATTTGTTTATCCTTTTAGTTTATAAATCATGCTAATAAAAAAACCTTGAATAGGGACCATATTTCTAATTCGAGGACATTCTGTATACTGCAGTGAGAGCTAGCAGGTGTTGGTTTCTTAAGAAAATTACACAGTCCATTACCTACATTATAATTATCGCTGCCCTTTCATTTAATAAAAACAACGAAACGTCCTTCCCTAATTATCATTTAAAAACTCATCATTTTCTAGCGCATACATCAACATTGTTAATAGTGTCCCAAGCGACCGGTCATGAAAAAAAAAACCAATTACGAGCGGGAATGCTCTCAAAACCCGCATAATCAATCTCTTCGGTCATTCTTGTCCGCCGCCTTACTAAATCAATTAATTTAAGACTCCACACAATACGCATATATTCAGAATTCGTAAAACGAATGTTTACAACTGCAAGTGAATTATTGTTGTGCGGTGGTTATGGTCCATACTTGATGTCATCCAGATACGTTCGAGTTGTCGGCCTGCGCTTTGTTGGATGACATAATTCTTGCAGTTTTTTTTAGACGGTGATTAAATGTTTACTTTATAGCGTTACCAGATGTGGTAATGCGGCGAAAAGAATGTTTAATTATTTTATCGTGATTTTTCAGCATGTTCTCCAACTGGATCGTTCGGTTTTAATTGGGTTTTCGAAACAATATCTTCGTAGCATATTTTTCGAGTTATTCTATTCGTTTTTTTACGAGTGATTTATTTTTTATTAATTTGTTAATTAGTTCACATATAAGACATTGAACATACACGTGTTTTCACCTATAAATAAGGAATGGTCTATATTTACACGGTTTTGTTTACTTTTCTTAAGTAAGGAATGCTCGA